TACTATCATATGTGGTTGGGTGTATCTATTGGTTACACATATTTTTGGTAATTGTCTTTTTGAAACCTTTTAGATTTACTTCATAGAACAATTTACGGAGTGCTTTGTTGGTGGTTTCTGGTGCATAAATTTTGATATGAAACATTTGTAATGATTTAAGATAGCAAGTAATCAAAAGAAAGAAAATTTGAGCCATGATATTTATTTGAGGAGCTTTTGGAAACAATTATGGACTAATTTTTAAAGTGGGATTTGTGAACCAAGAATTGTTACCTAAATTAGGTGATTAGGAATAGAATTAATTGGGTATGCTCCATGAAAATGGTGATTGCTCAGTGCCTATATATAAAATACTTAAGCAATTTACCACCCAAGGTTCATTTAGGGATCTTTAAATCTTGGAGCGGTCTCATTAATAGATTGTGGATTCAAATCATAATTAATGCTAAGAATTAGTAGATTATGTTTGATGTTAGTTAAACCTTCATGTTTTCATCACTTTGATCACCATGGATAGGTATTAAAATTGTGACACACTTGTGCGATAGTTAGTGGGGTTGACTTGTGGTTGTGACCCATAATAATTTAGTTGAAACCATATGATTAATGGTTGAATCGTGGCAAATAGTGGACTGATTCGGAGTGGCAAAATATGGTCATGGGAAGCATGGTTTTGAACTGGTGTATTGTACTATTATTTTATTTCAAGTGAAAACAAGAGGGTTAATGTTTCTTAATACGATTAAATGTCAGTGTCGTTTAATAAGTTGGTTTAGCTAGTTATTAATCTTGATTAATGGATTAGTAAGAGGTGAGTCAGGGACTAACCTTATAGTGATTTGTATGGCATGGTCCGAGACCTACCTATTGCAAGTGTGCTATTGTTGTTATGACCATTGGGTTAAATGTGCCATTATTATGTGGATGTGGTCAGGGACCATCTGGGCGAGTAGAAATACCAACCCAGCCACATATGTGTATTCGATAGTTCGAGACTAAACAATTCACACAAATTGTTGGAGGGGAGCCAGTGGCTTATATGTGATAATAACAATAGAACGTCAATCGATTGAGGGAAACCCGAGGCTCATGTGAGGTAAGTGGAATTTGGTAATTTATTTTAGATGAGTTACAAATTCACAGTGTGAGATAATGTTATAGAATGACATTGTATTTGGCACAATTGTAGTTGAGTCAACTTAATTGTAATGTTTCCAATTTTTACCATTTTCCATTTTCTGGAATTTTTTGATCTTCGGGGTTATTTTCGTCTTTTTCTCATTTTGTGTGTCGGACACCGTGGGGTGTGCCGGGTGTGTCCGAGGGTTGGTTGGGACATTTCCTTGAGTTTAGGACTCTTAGGAATGCGTCGGTTGCCATTTTGACATTTCTCTGTTTTTCGGGCCTGAAGGTCCCGAGTGGGACCCGTTACTGGAATTGTTTAGGCGGGAGTTGTGTCATAGGTTCATTGCATATCATACATATTTATTTTGTGCCTAATTTTTTTATTGCAGGTTATTATTGTGTGGTTGTAGTTTAATTTGTGTATATATGGATTTTAGTGGTGTAAAATAAAAAAGATAGGATATTTTCTTAGTGGAGGGACCCACCACTAAGTCATTAGTGGTCAAGAGGCTAATTCAAGCCTCATTTTCTTCGCTCTCTCCCGACAGCCTCTCTCCCTCTTCTTTTTCTTTTTCTTTTTCTTTTTCCTTGCAATCAAGCATTCAAGGCTTGATTTCTTCTACACATTTGGGAATTTGATAGCACTTCTTTCTACAAAGTTGTAAGGCTCGTCGAGGCTGTTGATTTGATAGGAGCCGAGCACCAATTTGGCCAACCCTTGAATTTCAAAGTTAGGGTTTGAATTCGGGGATTTTGGGGGTTTTCATCTCCATTAATGCAGGGGTGTTCTAATTTGCAATCTCTTAGATTCTTTATGAATTAATCCCATATAATTGAAGTATAGTATGGTAAATTGTAAATTTTTCTTGAGAAATTGCCATGATGCTAGATATATAATGTGTATCTTTATGTAAGCTATGTGTAAATAACTTATGTGCGTATGATTTGTTGATTGGATATGGAAAGCATGCTTTAGTAATTATGTTCTTGTTTAATATGTGTAATTGCCAAAAAATTTGTTGGATTTAAAGCATGCTATAAATTCATGAGAAATTTCTTCTTTAGTATGAAATGTTGTTAAGGTTTGATGATGTGAAAATTATGGTAAATTGTAAAGCATAAAGCATTTATGCATCCATTGGGAAAGAAAAAGGGGAAAGTATTTTTAAAACAAATGGAATTATTTTGGGAAAACGTTTTGAAAGTGTTTGTGAAAACTCGGACGCCTAGGAGGCGCTTAGTGGTCCGTGGTGTTAGTGTGATATAGAGGGGGGCTAGAAAGAGACTCTAGTGTGGTTGAGCTACCTAAGCCCAAACGACGCCATGGAGATGCCATGTGGTCAGGGAAAGCTAGCCAACCCCTCCCTCGTGATGCCTTGGAGGTACCTTGGGTCGGATTGCACTAACGGTTTGGAAGTTGAAACGGTATTGTTTCGGAAATGGGGAGTGACATTACATGGCATGGCATTGCATTGGTATACATTATACCTTGGTGGTTAGATGACTTGAGCATGCATTGTTGATATTATCGTTGTTTTACTTGTTTTCCCCGAGGTATGACCCCACTTACTTGTACTCTATTCCTTATGTGGATTCACGGGGTCATAAAAGATGTGTCTTAGACATTTCCTACTGAGCATTTAGCTCACCCCATTATTTTAATATTTTTCAGGATTGGGAAAAGAGGTGGCGGACGAAATCCACCACAAATCTAGATTGGACTGGGACTATCACCTAGCTATCCTTTGTATAGAAGCATGAACCATGACCTTTTGTATCGATACAATGTAATTTTGTATAATGTTGCAATTGTAGAAGTAATGGAACCAAATGGAACTCATGGAATGTAAATCTTATAAACTTTTATTCTTTATAAGAAACTATGAAGATTCATGTATTTTGATGTCGATGGGTATTGCTAAGTTGCGTTCTATGAATTCATGTATGTATGGGAAGGGATAAATCAATCTTTAGGTTCCATAGCAAGTCTTATGCAAAGTTTCAAGTTGCTGTAATCCAATAACAGGTTTTTTTAGCTCGCAGGGCCATTTCGGCCGACCGAAATGGGCACTTCGGTCGGCCGATCATTCTAGTAGGTTAAGATACTATTTGGGTCACAACCGGCCGACCGAAATGGCCATTTCGGTCGACCGGTACAATGGCCAATTCCGGGGCCATTTCGACCTACCGAAGCTCCATTTCGGTCGACCGAAATGATATTGTTTTGTGCACATTGTCTTCTTCTTTGGTATAAGTTATCCCGAGCCTTGGAAGGTTGTTTTGAGCATTCTTGAAGTTTATTTAGAATGCGTGGACGATGCATGAACGCTAGATATGATGTGGATTGACTTAGGTGACCTCAGGTTCGGGTAAGGACCCGGTTGGCGGTTCGAACCTACGGGTTCGGGTCGTTACATTAATTATTAGATAGTACGGTGATTTGTAGATTTTTTATGGTCACTTATATATATATATATATATATATATATATATATATATATATATTATAAGTAATAATTGACTTGCTAAACGATTATAGTGTTTAGCAATTTCTTGTTGAGTTTGTGAGTTTACCCCTTTATCACTTTCAGTTGTACATGGATTTAGCTTGCAAAGGAGGTTCAAGGGGAGATGGAGATTTTCCGGATTTTTCACATATTTATTTTATCATTGTTTCTTAGCATGAAATTTTGTAATAAGGTTCACCTAGTTGGTGAAATTTTATTTTGTGGGTGGATGTCATAGATTTCCTTTGGAATGGTGGAATTTTAAATGGAATTTCTTACTACTGACTTAAGCATGGGGAGTTCTTGTGGATGAATTATGCGAGTCACGTATTATATTTTAATACAGAAAAAGGTTTCTTATGTTAGAAAAATTGGAGCGTGACATGTCAAATGCACATGTTGACATATTTTCGGATACAATTTCAACAAGTTTGTTTTGAAGCCCATGCATTCATATTTGGAAGTGGATCATTATCAATACTTGATCCACTTTGGCGGCTTTGCTAGATTGTATGCGGACTTGAACCCTCGGCCTTCTGCTAAGGTTAAGTAGGACCCATTGAGGCAAGGGCAAATCTAGGGGTGGGCTTGAGCCCACCCCAAAAAATGAAAAAAAAAAAAAAAAAAAAAAAAAAAAAAATCTTAGTATAGGCAATTTTAACTCAGCCAATATATATATATATATATATATATATTACTAGTGTTAGTCCACCCAAAAAAAATATTAGCCACCCCATTGCATTGAGGAATGAGGGCAATTTTTTATTATTCTATTATATACCTCTGAATTCATTTTTTTTTATTGCATTTTGTACCCATAAAATTTTGAAATTCCCCACTGAAATTACCTAAAAAACCCCACTATATAAGTTACCCTGCCTCATAATTTTCTGGCTAAGGGCTACTGATTTCTCTGCTTTAATTACATACACTCAACACACACATTGTACAACTGGATGCTAACATTATGGGGTTTTACTGCTGATCACTTTATTGAAATTTACATCCAGCTACAAAAAATTGATTTATTTCTAAAACCCATAATTTCCTCAATTTGGTCTGTAATTTTTTCAATTGTACTATGTACTTGTATTTCCATCCCAAGGATTGCCGAGATCTGTTAAGCAAGACTTGTAAAAGCTTAAAAATAGCAAGCATTAGTCTTTTTAGTTAAAGAATTAATATTCTTTTCAATCACAGTAAATTTACTGTTATTAATTCCTGAATTCTCAAAGAAGTTAACACATTAAACGTACTCGGAACAAAGCTTTTCTTTCTGTCCAAGACTATAAAATTCTTGTCAGACAGGACTGTACTAAAGCTCTAGAATATAAACACATTGCTTGTTTGCTTTCTACATGTATTAGGATTAGCTTATTAATTTCTACAAACAAACCCACCAAGTCACCTTAGATTCCTATCTTTGATTATTCTGGATTGTAGTACATACATACATATATACATACATACATACATATACATATATCTATATATATATATATATATATATATATAGCTACTTAAATTTCTTATGGCTTGAACTGGCAATACCAATGCAAACAAATGCTTCAATGTTCTATGCATCTAAATGATCTTTCCCAATTCAGGTAAGTTCACATTTCTTCTCTCTGTTCTTCATTTTGGTAGTATAGAGATATTTATTGAATTGCATATGAAGAATGCTTTGGTATATCTCAAAGTCTTACGTTATTGTGATCCATCAAGAGAATTTCAATATCAGGAATAAGAAAATAGGTTTTTTTTTTTTTTTTTTTTTTTTGTAATTAAAAAATAAAAAAAGATAGTTCTCTATTCTAGTTCTCAAAATGTTTGTTACATTATTAGAGCTTGTTATACATCATTGCACCATTTGTTTTAACAGTTTCAACTTGGGTTTAGCCTTTTAGGTCTCTAATCTTAATCTTCTGTAGACAAGTTTGTATTCTGTTTTGATCTTTTTGGTCTGAGTCTCCATTTGTAGAATGTTGTTGGTAGAGAGGAGAGATATTTTTGTGTTGAAATGGTGAGATGTTGATGGTAGATTCCTTAAATCACAGTCCTTAATTGTTGTCACTAATTTTCTTTAATTGTTATTGTGTTGATGATGTGATCTCCATTGAGACGCACCGAATAAGAAACAACTTCCCCCCTCGTCTCCCGTGCACGTAGGTTATGTGTGGAAGCACGTAAATGATCTTGTGTTCTTTCTTATTTGTTGCTTTAAACGCGGCGACACATGAGGGAGGGTGTGAGGGTTTGATGTATATTGTTCGGAACAATCCTTTAACAGTTTAATCTTTTGGGTAATTGGTTTTAAACACCAATGTGAATATATCAAGGACTAGCACATTTTTTCCTATGAAAATGACTTTTTTCTCCCAAACATTTCTACAAGATTGATAAATTGTTAAACCGCAAAAGTGATAGGGAAGGTCTTTCTTCTTATAGAGTTAGTTTTATTGCAGTAACTAATCCTAACCAAATTATACCATTTCAGTGTCTGCTAGCTAGCTTCATCTATCAATCATTGAATTGAGCTCGATTGAAGATACAGAGGAAGCCACTTCTAACAAGTTGGAAGTAAAAGATGGAATCGGAAAGTAGATCACGGAGACTAATACACACAGATCATGTGGCACTTGAAATTGTACCAGAAGATAATCTTGTATTCTCCATCAAAGAAAAGATCGAAAGAGTTGCCCTCACTCATAGTATTTGCAGGGTCCCGGATAAACACTCTAACCAATCTGAAGATAAATACGTCCCCAAATTAGTCTCTATCGGCCCTTTACACCACGGTGAAGAAGCTTCAAAGGCCATGGAGGATAACAAATGGTGCTATCTCAACACGCTCCTCAATCGGAAACCAAAAGTGGAGGAAAGATTGGACATGGAGGATAACAAATGTGGCTATCTCAACACGAGACTCCTCAATCAGAAACCAAATGTGGAGGCAAGCTTGGACAGTTGTGTGAAGGCTCTGAGAGAGTTGGAAAACAAAGCTAGGAAATGCTATGGGGAAAAATTCGAGCTGGGAAGTGATGAATTTGTACAGATGATGTTAGTTGATGGTTGTTTCATCATTGAAATCTTGTTCAAGTACTCTATCAAAGGGTTGAGGCGTAGAGATGATCCGTTTTTCATCACGAAGGAGAGGTTTCTCCACGTGAGGAGTGACATGCTACTGCTCGAAAACCAGATCCCCTTCTTTATCCTTCAGCGTCTCTTTAGCCTCGTCCCAATTCCCAACCAATGTACTCAGTCCCTCGTAGAGCTTGCCTTGCGTTTCTTCAAGAAATTGATTCCGGGAAATGTTCCAATTCTTCAAGGGAAATTTAGCCAGGACTTCAACCATTTACTTGACTTAGTCCTCCACTTTTACCTCCCAACATATGCAGAAGTGGAGTCAATTAGTGGAGCAAAGCAAAGCTTGGCTAACGCGAAAAAGCTCCAAAAAGCAGGAATTAGCTTCGAGAGGGCCAACAGAGAAAGCTTATTGGACATGAAATTTTCCCATGGAGTACTCAAAATGCCCCCTCTGAAAGTAGACGATTACACAGAAGTTGTTCTTAGGAACCTCATTGCACTGGAGCATTGTTACTGTGATCGGAAAAAGTACATCACATCTTATGCCGGTTTCGTGAAGAGCCTCATCCAATCCAAAGAAGACCTGAGATTGCTGTACCAGACACGGATTATCGCCAATAAGAAGAAGGAATGGGAAGACATTCTTAATTTGTTCAAGAAGCTACACGGAGAAACGGATGTGAAGGAGTACTACTACAATGGTCTTTGTGAGCAAGTGAATGGGCACGGCAAAAAAACCAGCTGGCAGGCTTGGCTCCAGAGTTTTCGCAAGACTCCTTTGGCAGTTGCAGGTCTCATTCTTGGCATTCTGTTCCTAATTCTCACTTTCATAGGGACTTTGTTTTCAGTCCTCTCATTCACACACCATTTTTAGGGAAGATGGGGTATCTTCTCTCACTGTTTTCCTATCTGTGATTGTTTTATTGCTTCATTGAATTGATCTTTGGTTGATAATTAGTAGTAATGGTTTTCACTATGAAGTTGATCATGTCATGTTTTGATATTGTCAATTAGTATGTAACAGCTCAGTGATGATCAGGAATAAATTGTTTTTATCACCATCAACCATAGTTTTGAGTTTGGTCATTCAAGTATTTTACACAAATGTTTTTTCAGAGAGAATTTAGGGGAGAGAGCTAAGAGTTGTATCAGTCTAGAGTAAACATTTGTCATGAATTAACCATAGTTATTACTCTTGAAGAAACTGAGCCTAATTTGCTATCAATCATTCAATGAAGCTTTATCCATGTATTTTCTTTTGGCATTAAAGAACTACAGAGAGACACTTTTTGATTACACTGTGTGTGAGGGGGCCATTGACAATGCTCAATCATACTAAATTTCATATGTTAGATTTCTTTGATTTAAAAGTGATTCCATTGTGACCTGCAGGTGATCGGGTTTGAAACCAGAAACAACTTCTTCTTCTAAAGGTAAAGTTGTGTACATCCAACTCTTTCTAAAACCAGTAATGTCGGAAGCCTCGCTGAATTAGGCTAGTTATAAGTGCACAAAATCCATTATTTTATATTCCAAAATAAATATTTAATTAGTCTTTTATATTATTTAAATATTCTTATATGTGTTTTTTTTTTTTTTTAATGTTTTATAGGTATTAATTTCAGAGTGAGAAGAAAAGAGACAAAAAAAAAAAAAACAAGTGAAGAGTTGGTTGCAAATAAAATCAACACAACAAGTAGTACACCACTTTACAAGAAGTCTCAAATTCAAAACCAAGTCCCCCCTCCACTCGGGAGAGAAGTAAAATGTAAATAAATGTGTTTTATTTCTTGTATTAATTCCATGGGAAATAAGTCTCATAAATAATCAAATTATTTAATGACATATTTTTCTTCATCTTTCGAATTGAAAGTATTTTATTATTTAGGGGAAAATTTATATAAGAAAAATAGACAATTATTTATATGGATTAGTGGCGGAGGATCCTCGTTCCTTGAGACTTTTTTGTGAAAACAGTGTTAACGCGGGATGCGGAAGCTATTAGTTGATTTTAATTGTGATCGACTCCTTTAATGAACTAGATTTGATTATTAGGTCAACTTGTGCAATTTATGATTGATTAAATTATAGGATCAATTTAAACATCCACAATCATAAATATAGATACTTAAAAGTAAAGCAAGTTAGGGTTAGAGAGATTGCACTAGGATTTTTAGCGAGGAAACCCCAGTTGATAAAATACGTCAACTGTTTGCATGGGAAAAACCTCGTGGATTATTCAATCCAAAGTAAACTGATCCACTATGTTTAAAACAAAGTACACCGAACTTTGACTCTAACTCACACCCTATCATTTTACCAAACACAAATTACTGACAATCCTCTGGCTTTACAACTCCCTGTCCAACAACAACTTGACCTCAGGCTTATGCTTGATCTTTGTAGAAAAGTAGCAGGTATATCAGACAACACTCCTCGAATGCTCTAATCCTTTCAAAGTGTGATTGCTTTTACTTCTATTCTTCAAGATCTGAACTCGATGTAGTAGAATTAAATCCTGTTTTTCATTCAGAATATCTAAATCTTCAATATAGCTCCAATTCTGATGAGATAGAGAATAACACTACTAAATCACTCATGAATATGTATGTGTGCTCTCAAAAATAAATTCAGAATAATCAGATTTGATTTTCTGAATTTTCTCTGTCAAAAAGGCTTTCTCAAAATATAGAATTGATTTTCCTTAAAACCATGAATAAACCTAGAAGACTAACAAGGTTTATATAGAGTTTATAAAGTCCTAATCCCTCAGAAAATATGAAAATTTTCGTGCATAGGACTTGGAAAGAAGTTAGGATAAAAAATGAAACAATCAGACAAGCTAATTGGAAACCTGATGCTGCCAGGACTACTTGAACCGGTTCAGAGGGGCTGAACCGGTTCAAGATGACCAGCAAAGAATCCATATGATTCTTGAACCAGTTCAGCCCCCTTGAACTGGTTCAAGATGGCCAGTCTTGAAACTTTGGCAATTTTGGTAATGTTGAATCTGTTCAATAAATCTTGAACCAGTTCAAGATGGACAGAATGTAAAATCTTATTTAAAACCTTTCAAAACCCTTCCTAAATGTTCTCACTACCTCTCAAAGCCTCTTAGAGAATTGTTCTCATGATCTCGAAGTGTAGTATATCATAAACACTTGAACTTCTTCAAATCTGCATCCGATATTCAATCTTTGAAATTTCGAACCGAAAAATTACAACTCAATCGGACTTGTTTTGACAACGAAATTAGCCAATTATAAGATACATATCTCACAATCGCCCCCATTAGCAATTTCATGACAAAACTCTAAAAACAATTCAGCAATCTACCCAAGCAGGAAAGTAAATTACAATGATTGTTAAAGAAAATAAACTGCAGAATTTTTCTTGAACTTCATAAAGCTTCAACACATGTAGCAACCTATAATTTGCCCATTAGCTCACGCACAACTACCCGTGAAGCTAAATCAAGAAAATAAACACAAGCATAAAATAATAAATTTTAATGCCTGCATATCAACGCAATGTAAACACATGCAATGATCAATGCCTCAATGCAAAAAGTTCTCCCCCTTAATGCAAAAGTATCTCTCCCCCTGAATGATAAGACTCTAAACTCTCTCCCCCTTTTTGGCATAAATTAACAAGGGTCTCAAGGAAGAAATATCCTAGAAGTAGGAAGTAATCAACCATATAAATCTTGTAAATTGAAACCAATTAGAATGTAGACTCCAGAGGACTGTATGTTTCAACAGAAATAACCAAGATCAATTATTTTCAGTTCCACAAACTTAGTAAGTGTAGTAAAATCACCACCAAGTTCCAAAACATATGATCTGTCAACTATTCAGATTTCAGATAATAAATCAATGATATCACACATTCTTAGAAATCAAACAATCAACACGTGCAAAAGATTTTTTTTTTTTTTTTTTTTTTTTTTTTTTTTTTTTTTTTTTTTTATCCCTCTTTGTGCTCCGTTTTTCTTTTTGCACATTAGCGGCTTTCACACTTATGGCCAGCTAGCTCTTCATATGTTTCGAGTCAAGGTAGCTTTCAGACAAATCCCAAAGGTAGCATTTTCCATCTCACCTTTTTCTTTCAAAATAATAAATATTTTTCTTTCTTTTTCAAAAACTTTTTCATTCCAAGCTGTTTTTCAATTTTCTTTTCTTTTCACTCTTTTGGTCTAAAACATATAAACGAAGTTTAAATTCCAAGACAATGATCAATCATGTTAACATTATCTTTGACCTAAACAATAACATCAAACACAAGTAAATGTACTATCAATAATTCATTTACTATACGAAATAAGTAAGCAAAACCAATTTTCATCAATTCATAGCCATAATATGTTTTACACTTATAACCCATGTGTCATTAAACTCCTTGTGTTCAACATACTCAATCAATATGATTTGCTTAACTTCCCAAAAACATAATCTAGACACTCAAGATATGCATGAAAATCCTTTCTAGACTATGTCTTTGTAATGTATCTAATCAAGACAACAGACATCAATAGATCTCCTAAAATGAGAAAACTTAGAAGCATTTAATGGTTTAGTGAGAAAATCAGCCAAATTCTGATCAGTATGCACTTTTTCCAAAGACACGACATTTTGTTCAACAAGTTCCCTAAAAAAGTGATGTCGAATGTCAATGTGCTTAGTCCTAGAATGCAAAACTGGATTCTTTGAAATATTAATTGTACTACTATTATCACAAAAGATAGCAATAGTGCCTTGATCAACTTTATAATCCAGAAGCATCTGTTTCATCCAAAGCAATTGTGTGCAACAATTTCCAGCAACAATGTATTCAGCCCCACAAGATGATAAATATATATAATTTTGCTTCTTGTTGTACCATGAAACAAGATTAGTACCGACATAGAAATAACCACCTGAAGTACTCTTTCTATCATCCTTATTACCAGCTCAATCAGCCTCAATATAGTCTGCAATCTCAGAGTTAGACTCAGAAGAATAACGCAATCCATAATTTAATGTACTATTGACATAACGAATAATGCGCTTGATTGCAAGAATGTGTTGTTCTCTAAGATCAGCTTGATATCTAGTATAAACACCTACACTAAATGAAATATGTAGCCTAGTTGCTGCAAAATATAACAAACTACCAATCATACTCCTATACAAGAAATAATCAATCTTATTAGGATCAGAGTCTCTATCCAATTTGGATGAAGTACTAATAGGAGTTTGAACATACTTTGAATCTTTCATACCAAATTTCTTAACTAGCTCCTTTGCATATTTTGGTTAAGATATGAAAATTCCATCATTAAGTTGTTTCACTTGGAAACCTAGAAAGAAAGTCAGTTCACCAACCATGCTCATTTCAAAAGTATTACTCATATCATTAGCAAAATTATGAACAAGGTTATCACAAGTAGCACCAAAAATAATATCATCCACATATATTTGAGCAACAAGAAAATCTTTTTCTTTCTTGAAAATAAACAGTGTTTTATCGACTCCTCCTCTTCTGAATCCCTTATACATTAAATAAAAGTTAACTTCTCATACCATGCTTTAGGTGCTTGCTTTGAATCATAAAGAGCCTTTTTAAGATAAAACACAAAATCAGGATAATGTAAATCAATGAAACCTTTTGGTTGTGCTACATAAACTTCTCCCTGCAAAATACCATTTAGAAAAGCATTTTTCACATCCATTTGAAATAATTTGAATTTAAAGTAACATGCAAGAGCAAAAAGAAGTCGAATAGACTCAAGTCTTGCAACAGGTGCAAAAGTCCCATCAAAATCAATTCCTTCAACTTAAGTGTATCCTTATGCAACCAATCTAGCTTTATTTCTCATCACAAGACTATGTTCATCAAGTTTATTTTTAAAAATCCATTTGGTCCTTATGATATGAACATCACTAGGTCGAGGCACTAATTTCCAAACATCATTTTTCACAAATTACAATAACTCTTCTTGCATAGCCATAAGCCAATTAGAATTTTGAAGAACTTCATCAACATTCTTTAGTTCAAACTAAGCCATATGACATGAATGTCCTATGTCATCTACAATACATGAGTGTCCTAAATGATCACGGACTGTACTCCTAGTACCAAGCTTATCCCATGGGCTATCACATTGTCAACT